CTGTGGAGATTTATGAGCGTCACCGTGCGTAACATCAACGCACAGATGATGATTCCTGGCCCGGATTCACCAAAATAATTGCACTTCCTGTTTGGCGAATCAGGCTTCAAAATAAAAGCGCGGATTAACAGTGAGGAAAAAGTATCATTTTAAGTTTCAATTATTCAGGTTTTATTAATTATAAATAGCCTACTATAATTAAACATTGTTTTATTTCACATGTATTAATGTAATAATATAAATAATAAATAAAATTATACTTAATATAATACAGTTAAAAATACTGCACTGTTTTCATATTCCAAACCCTAACACATTACACTGCAAAACGGTTACATGCAATACACAGGAAATTAAGTTAAAGTAACAGACTATTAGTCTTTAGTTGCTTCTAAAACATGTAATGATAGGACCTCTAATTATTATTTAATTATTTTAATTATTATTATTTTAATTATTATTAAAACTAGTAGGGAAGAATAGGGTTGGTTGTCACATTCCTTAGATCTCACTCCTGAGATTGTGCTGTTAAAAAATGTAAAAATGTTGGCAATGAAATTTCCAGCACTGGGGTCAGAGGTCACATACTGGGTGATTACAGAAGGAAGACACTTGACATTGAGCAGAGAGGAGTTTTGGTACTTTCCATGTCAAAATGTAAACACCCCGCTCTTCTACGTTTCTCGTCTAGACTTTTATATGATGAGTTTATGATACAATAGTTATAACTGTAAAAAGGATTGAAGGGAGAGCTGTAGTTTTTTTCTTCACTAAGTTACATGTGATTGTTAGCGTAGTCACTATCATAAAACAAAAAAAGGAAATAAGTTGGCGATGCTTGTCACATTCTTTTCAGGGTTGGTTCTCACATGTAGCCTACTGTTCTTTGTTTTGTACTTTACAATGTTAAATACACAGGGTTTTTGATATTCTACATTTAGTGCAGCAGGTGATTAAGCCCAGTACTTGTGGACCAAAGCAGAGCTACAACTGATCCACTGAAAATCTAGAAATTTCTGTATCTGGAATTGATGAGTGCAAATTGTGCTCTTATTTTGAAAAGCACAGCACCAGAAGCATAAAATATGTTGCTTAAGTGAATAATGGCATACTCATGATTTGGCACAGTTGAAACATCTGCTTAAAGGTTCCGGCTGAATCAGTTTTTCATGAGTTTCCTGATTTTCTGAGCATTTAAAAGAGGAAGGATGCAGCTGTTGATTTTGCCTTTGAGATTTGCTGTAAGACAAAAGTAAAAAAAAAAACAATAGAACTCACACACAGCAATGCTGAGAATCCTCTGCAGTGTCTGTAATTCACCATGACAGAAACTACCATCAGACAGATTTACTGGATGCTAAGCCAAAAGGGTTTATTACACTTTTCTGCTGGACATGAAGATCACAGAAATATGATTTCAGTAACAGGTTTTGAAACACTACAGTGAAGGTTAAACAGTGTGAGCGGAAAAGCCGTTTCCTAACCACCAAGCTTCCCCCCTCAGGAAGAAGCAACCGTTCTTTTAATTCTTGTAACTGCTCGTGGGAAAAGAAAAATGGGCTACAACAGTTTAAAGCTCAACAGAAATGACACCAAGAAACAAAAAAAATGATTCAAACATGTAATAATCTGAACTATTGCTCCAGTGCATGTTAAGATAAACAAAGGATTTCAATGTAGTTGTACATATAAATGGGTTTGAGTGGCTGATAATGTTCTTTTAACATGTTTGTACTCACTAATAAGTGTATTCAGATTCAACACGTTCCAGCTGCTTCTGTGAAATTCCTCTTATTGCCGTTACAGAGGCCTGACAATATTCTTTGAAACCCACTGGCAAACTTTTGTAGGAAGAAAACAGTAAACTTAATATCTATCAGCAGCTCTGACAACAAACAAAATCTGGTTTTGAATCTAAAATAAAACAGAAAATACTGGCTGAACCCTAATAATATGAAAAGTTTGTAGTATGGTCCGTGTCTGCTGAGCTACATCTCATGAAAGCAATACAGTACAGTGCAGTTAAGAGGAAATATGTCACTGATATATGATATATGTCACTGATACACATGCAAAGAGAGCTCTGGCTTGTGGCGTGGAATCATACAAAAGGTGCAGCATCTGTTGCAGCTTTTAGGTCACTAGCACAAAGAAACACATGAGATTTCCAGGCCGACAGACCAGGTTTGTTAACAACCACAAAGAATACAGTGCATTTCAATATTCAGTGTTTGTGTATTGACCTGCTTGTTTGGTTGCAAAACAAATCAAACATCTAACACAACTCTGCTGCAGGATGGTCGTAACGTGACGCAGAACAGTGAGCAAAAATGAACCCAAAAAAACAAAAAAAGCACACTCGCACATAATCCAAAATTAAAAGACAACACAAATAAATACAGAAAGTATAAAACTCTGGGAAACACTGTCCCCGATAAGTTGTTCCACCCTTCAGTGAAATATGAGAGACACTGCTCTCGATAAATACACATGTAAAACTCACACACGATCACACACGCTGGTAGGCAAAATCTACCGTCACTGTTTTTCATTATGGGAGACACTGCTCCCGATAATGGGTTTTAAGTATGGAAGGCACTGCTCCCGATAACTTTATCGTATTAATAAGTGCTCCAAAGTTGACTGTGCAACATAAATGGCTTTCTTGCAAATTATGGAACCAATCAGCTCAGTTGTTGCAGTAAAAAAAAGGGAGGTTGATAATGTTTTGGCTTTCGTGCAATCTTTTTTTTTTTTTGATTTAGCATTAATCAACAAGAATAAATACAGTCTTAACTTATCTCTGGGCTTGTTGATACATAAATAATAATAATAATAACAACAACATCAAAATAATCCAGAGTAGAGCTGCAAACAATTAGTCGAATAGTCAATCAACACCTATTTTGCTAACGGATTAATCGTAAAAAGTAAATTTAAAATTAAAGTAAATTTTCATGCAAGAATAGCAGGAAATGCTGTTTTCAGCCTTTAAAATATGGAGATTCTTTTGCTTTTTTAATCATATTAAACTGTATATCTTTGGGTTTTGGACTGACTGAATAAAACATTCAAAGACATCACATTGGACTTTGAGCAACTGGGATGGATGTGTTTTTTTAAAACAATATTTTGACATTTTAGAGACCAAACAATTCATTGATTAACAGGGTTCCCACACATTTTTGCCAATGAAATATCAATACTTTTTACATAATATTTTACCCCATTTCCATGACTTTATTTCAGTAGTTTAAATGGGCAGGCCTATAGCAATACAGCCATTCATTATCAAACATGCATTTCCCGGGCATTTGCAGATGCGCAACAGCTAGCGCGAACAAACTTTACTTGCTCATTAGACGTTCCCATTAGACCAGACCAGCACTTATGGGTTCTTCGCAAACACCAAGGCTGCGCTGCTTTTGGGGGATAGAAAACGGAAGACTCTGATGATTAAGAAATTTAATGTGTGTTTGGATATACTTTTGACATGACTATATGCTTTTATTTATTGTTAAACAAATGTTTTATGGACATGTCCGATAATTATTTTACAACTTTGCCTGAACCTGAGCGTTTGGGGTACCTTAACATTGAAGTTGATTGCCATCATGTCCCGTCAGGCTTCCTCCGTCCAAGTGGATCAATGACCCAACACAGTATGACACGATACCTATGATATCTGATTGACTCAACAGGTATCTTAGGGCCAATTGCTGTCTGTAAATAACGTGTTAACAGCCAACTGTTTCACCTCAACAGACAGTTAGTTGGAGATGACGCTGATGCCGCTGTAATGCAGCAGCCTCCCACTGAGGCTAATGTTAGCTATCCATCAGTAGTAACAGTCACATGCATCATTTAGAGATTTACCACACTGACAGTGAGTATTTACAGATTTTAGGTGCTTCAGATCTCAGTGTGAAAGCTTCGGACTACACAATAGCTTTCCAACATTTTCCTGTTTCTCTCCTGATGTGACTGTACGTTTCTTTCCCCCAAAAGGGGGTGTGGCCTTAGTGATGACGCAGTGTTGGTCTGACGTAGGTGTATCACGTGATACGAGTGACGTGTCAGTGGTCACACAGTGCAGAACTAGATATTTAAATTAGTAATGCAAGAAACGTATTTGGAATGACGTTGGACATGTTTTGGGATTTTTATGAGCATATTTATAACAATACAAAACAATGTGTATTCAGACTTTTTCAAAACAGTTTTTCTATTTTCATAACTTCTCCTGGAATTCAATGACCGTGGGAACCCTGGATTGATCTAGAAAATAATCTGCTGATTAACTGATAATGAAAATAAATGTTGGTTGCAGCCCTAATCCAGAGAGTGTCATTTTCTCCCTGCTCTTAGCCAGATAAAGTCAAATACATCTGATGCTGTATCATCAGGAAAAATTCTTTTCTATCCTTCATTTCTCCTTTTTAATGCATTTTAAATAACCATTTTTATGGCTATGTGAATAACCACTGATGTACACCACTTTCTCATGAAATCATTTTAGAAAAACCTCCACAGAAAGACAAAGAAATGAAGGCCATAATAACTAAATGTAACTTTATCAGGGGCTCCATTTTGTCAGCAACAGTTGAGGAGACATTTGTGTAGCAGATGCTGCCGGAGGATTCGACAGTATAACCGTCATAATTATGGAAGGCACTGCTTCCGATAACGTCGTATAAAAAGACAAACAATATATTTATAGTGGGCACTGCCACTGATAAAAAAACTTAAGTACAAATAAGGTTTCTCAGTGTTTTGATGGCGAGAGGTAACAGCAAAGATTTTGACTGGTTCTATGTGGAGCCAGGAGGAGAGGAGGCAGGTCTGTCAGTAGCTTTAATATTTCTTCAAGTATCTGATGATGGTTCACAGCTTTTAAGAATGTGATCTGTACTTTTCTGTCTCCTCCTGGACATTTGTGATGTTTGTAAGACTCTAATTCCCCCCCCCCCCCCCCCCCCCCCCCCCCATAAAACTGATAAGGATCCTGTTTTTAAAGGGTGAGGCTTAAACTTCTGATTGACAGCTTGTGCTTAAGTGCTGATATTGGAGCTCCTCCCTCTGCTCTACCTCAGATTTCATCTTGAACAACACACACACTCAACACCTCACAACTCTCGGCCCTCCTTCTTTAGATGGCTTCATCGATGTCCCAGATGTTTCCCACCATGGCGTGGGCACAGCCCTGCAGGTTCCAGGTGGCAAGAGCCAGCTGAGTGTGGAGATGATCCGGATCGGTGGCTGTGGCGATGGATGCCAAAGTGTGGGAGCCCCGACCCAGCAGGAGGTGACGGAAGGGAGTCTCAACGGGGGACACGTATGGAGAGAGGAGGCCGTGCTCAACCTGGAACAACATAAAAACGACTATAATAAACCTTGCACTTCCATTTTTACTGATGTCTGACTGAGCTCAGGATCATACATGACACAAACAAAGAAATGTTTTAGGATGTTTTAATTTCATAAACCAATCAGAATCATTGAGGGCGGACTTTGATCATGCTAAACCAGCATTCTTTAAAGGGCACCCATTATGCCTTTCCTAGTATTCTGTCATATATACAATGTTAAAATGTCAGATGTTCATATCAAACATGGCCCAATTTTTAAACAATGAGGTAAATGTATGTAAAAAATAATCCCTGTGAGCAAACACCTCAGGCTTCAGACTGTTCTGAACACTGTTTCAAATGTTTTTTCTACTTTTGTTTGTGTCTACTTGTGTTTTTGCAGAACATTATATGCTGTCACAATGAAGTTGACTTTTTGGATAAACAATGTCATCACTTCATCATTTGTAGAAATTTTGTCATAATTAATGTATAAATTCTTGAGTTCTGGCAAAAAAAACCATGTTTTGTGGGGTCACAGTGAGCTTTGACCAACAAATTTTTATCAGTTCATCATTAAGTCAAAGTGGACGTTTGTGCCAAAATTTGAGGAAACTTGCGATATTGCGTTTAAGAGAATGGGACTGACTAACAAACAAACCACCAAAATACAAAATGCCTTGGGTGATGGCTTCATTGGTCTGACTTCTAAATTAAATTGCAAATGTTGCCAATTTTGTTATATGCTAATAAATTCTGCCTTTAAAGATTGAATTCAATTAACATTTTAGATACAGCAGAGGTGTCACAGTGTGTGTCTTACACTCATAATCCTGTCGTTGAGGATCCGACAGGCCTCCTTGTCATTCAAGTCAGTGTTGATGATGTCATTCTTGATGCCGCTTGCAGCACGTTGGAAGGAGCCGCGTGCACGGTTCAGCCAGTTGGGATCGACTTCCTTCAGCTGACCAGACTGCAATACAAAAAGACCAATTAACATCAACATAAATACTATGAACAATCATTCTGGTCTTCACAGCTAGATTTCAACATAATCCATAGCCTCCTTCAGGAAAGGAACCAAACAACAGCATAAAAAGGTGTGAGACAGTCAGAGAGGCCGACCTGTGAGAGCTGATTGACGTGTTTGTAGACCTGGAACACAGCCTTGGTGAGGATGCCGCTGTATCGACCTATATCCAGGTTGAGCAGGTGGTCGTGGACTAGCCGCATAGCCATCTGGCCGGCAAACTGTGCCGCCACGGCCACCATTTCACTGGTGCGCTGGTTTGTTTTGTAATTGAGGTGATCCATGTTGTCCAGGTTGGTGCCATAGTAATCATAGGTCAAATCCTTTGGACACATACACAAACACGATTAACATTAAAAAAAATAGCAAATGTCAGTGAACTGCAATCATACAACACAATTTTGTTTATTAGCCAGCTTTTCTGTGATCAGAAGGGCTTCAACTAATGATTATTTTCATTGTCAATTGATCTGTTAATTATTTTCTCCATTAATCAGTTTGTCTTGTCTAAACATTGCCAGAAAATGAAAAAAAAAAAAAAAAAAAAAAGGTCAATCAGATTTCTAAAATCCAAGATGACGCCATCAAATGTCTTGTTTTGTCCACAACCCATAGATATTCACTTTACTGCTACAGAGGAGTACAGACAGCAGAATATATTCACATTGAAGAAGCTGGAATCAAAATTAATATTAAAAAAAATATATGAAATTAGTTGGCAATTTAAGCTGAGTAACAGAAACAGTGGCATTATGTTTGTTTAAAAATGACAACCATTTAAAATCTCTACTACACCTACCATGTGATTATCTCTACTAACAGAAGGGTTGTGTACATGTAAACATTCCCATTAATATTTGTTGTGGGTAAATGTGAACACAGATCATTCTTAACAGTAAATATCTGCTTTGTTTATTTAATATCAAGACTCACGTTGGGAGAGATGAAGTGGAAAGAGATGGAGGGAATTCCAGAGAAGGCCAGGAAGGGATAGGCGGGGTCGTCTATTGACATCGGCCTCAGTCTGCAAACACCGTAATGTTAAGTTATTGTACCGCTAGGTCTAGCAGCTGCTCATTTCTACAGCAAAAGATTGTAGGCTGTAGTGCTGGGGATAAAACCTCAATATTTTTTTTCTTTCTACCTAAACATGACTGTTGAACTGAGTGTGGCAAACTAGCAGAGAATGCCAGGTAAAATGTGTGACCCTGTTTACTTTCTCTTATATCAGATTGTTCTGATTTAAATCAATGTGCCAATTTTAGATTTCATTTTATTTAAGCACAGCTCTTGTCTTTGTCAAATTAACATTTGAGAGTTTTGGCTTTTTTCTGTTAAACAGAACAAAGGCTTTTACATATTGAAAAAAAAAAGTATTTAAATTTTTCAAATTAAAAGGCATCTGTATTAGTATTTTCAAACAATATCCAAACGTACATTTCTGTGGCTTTCAAATTTATGTTGCTGTTAATAACAGTATTTGATGAGTTTCATTTCGAAAGAACATTAAAACTGTTCTGACAAAATTAGTGAAATAGTTACGAGGCCTGGATGACATCACAATATACCAGGGTACTCAGGAATCCCCACAGTATGATTTTCAATATGGTCAAAATACAGACTCTCCTCTTTCTATTAAACTGATATGGAGATGCTTTATTGAGGTGCTGCATTGTAGTGCACAGCAAGTGCCACCAGGGGTCAGTCTCTACTGGTGGAACAGATCGCAGAGCCAACAGACCTGATGACTGTGACTGGTGGGGATAAGTAAAGAACTAGTAAAAGACCGCCAGCAATGGCAGAGAGAGACAGATGGGAAAAACATGTAAAGCCAGCATTATTGTCACATCTAACGTAGTAACTTTAGGGTTATTTCAACCAAACCAGAGCTGGTGATTGTTGACACAGTGACTAAACAAGACGCTCTTGGCGAATGAAGTATGATTAAGTATGAAGAACTAAGTTTGAAGTATGATTTTATGAGTGATTTTTTTTCATTTCTCAGACCAAAAATGCTCACATAGCTTGTAGAGCAAAGCAAACTTGCCGCTTGAGCACATCTCCCAGTTAAAACCACTGGGGAAATACCATTATATGCCGTATACCCTGGTGAAATATCAGGAAGGCATGCAAAAAGAAACAGCCCAAGCCTAATAGTTACAGTAGTCTACTTTATCTTCTGGCTGGCTGACTGACTGAAAACCTGTCCTTACATACTGATTATCTACTTACGTTTTGGTCCAGCTGGTTTTTCCCACCATATCGTACACAGTTCCAGTACCAACTGGACTCTTCACCTGCATGGACAAAGCTTAATTAATACAGACACGACTGGTTTGTATAAAACTGGATCAGCATTGGGTGGGATGTTGTTACCTCTTTCATCGTGCTCTCAATGAGACTGTAGAGCAGCGGACTTGCTGAAGCCATAAAGCTTCCTCGACCTTGTGAAAAGATACACTCAGTCAGCTTACAATCACTAAAAAAAACAAAAAAAACTTAAAATTTAAGACGTACTGCGGGTGTGTGCTGTACTTACCCAGGACCAATCCATCCAGGTTTATGTAGGTAATAACACGTTTGTCAATATTAGACATATAACCCTAAAAACAAACACAGACATACTGAAGAACATTACATACAGCTCTCTTTTTAATACGTCTAGATCAAAGTAATTTAGTTCTTACCTCCAACCACTCGGTGGCGCCAACACTTCCATACTCTCCAGCACTCCAGCTTGCAAACACCAGGCTTCTCCTGGGCCTGAACCCATCTGAGGAAAGAGAAAACACACAAATGAGAACACTGTGATGATGAAGCTTCATTTATACTTCTGCATTGAGGAGTTACAACATGGCTCTGAGGTTAAACTGTAGCTGATGTGTTCCTCTTTCAAAATGTTACTACTCATCAGAGCTACGGCAGCTACTAAGATACCACCAGAATTGTCATTGGTCAGCATTTGTTGTTTTGGGTTTTTTTCTCCTGCAAGTTTCTGATATCGGTGGAGATTGTTGAGTGAAAAAAACTTGCAAGTATTTACAATATTTCAAAGTCAGGTGAACATATGAAGACTAGATATTCCTTTTAATACAGGCTATTAAAATCCTAGTTTTTAGGATTTTTTAGGTTAGTCAGCTCATTATAAAACTCCCTCTTTTGTTTTCCTAGACAGAGTTTCGGCACTGCGGTGGGGGGATAGTAACAGAGAGAGGAAGTTTTGTACTAAAAAGGAAATCATTTGAAAGATATCAACTTGATTTGACTGACTCAGACTGCTAAAGACTTAATCAATCATAAATCAAATACAATAATACAATAGCTTTTCCTTGGACAGTTGCTACAAACTACAACGGTGAAGAACACACAATGTCTTTGGTTTTAGCTCTTAACAAAGGAAAAATGGAGTCACGTCCCCATTTATCACTGCTTCTCTTTCTTGTATTGTGTCTTGTAAACAATGTGTTGTACTTGTCACCTTTCTCCACCATCTCGTGAAAAGCCCTGGCCAGCTCAATCAGCACGGAGGTCCCAACGGTGGCTTTGGCGTAACCTTTACCCCAGGCGTCTCTCTGAGCTCCCAGTACAAGGTAGCGATCTGCAGATTCACAAACAGACACAAAACTTTCTTAGATGTACAGTGATATTAAACAAATAATCCCACTGTGGATGATTAGAGGGGAGAGAAAGGTACCAGGATCAGTGAATCCTTTGATGACTCCAAACACATTGTGGATCTCCCTGTTGACCAGCACGTTGTTCACCTCAACAGAGATGTTCTTGCTGCCTCCCAATCTGTAATCCACTGACAGGAGGGCGCCTTTAAATTTGTCACCAGCTACAGGACCTCCGATGTTCCTAGAGAAGATGGAGAGTTCAATGCAGTTTCAAACATCATTTAGCAACTTTATTTATACAAATTTATTTAAGATGGAAAAGGAAAACCACCAGAAAAACAGACATTGCTGTGCCCACAGTTGAGTCTTTGGAGTGAAAAATATTACAAAGGAAAACTTTACCAAAACAAATGTGTATAATCACGTGGAAATTAGAATCCTCATGTTTTCGTCACCTTAGAATAGGGAGTATGTTTTTTACCAGTTTAATCACCTGGTCCATTTATTTTGAAAAGGATGACACCTCTGTGGATAAATCGGCTCTAGGTTAAGGTTAAAACCTGCTAAACAATGGACACACAGACTTCTAACTAGGAAAAGTTTTAGCAGGTTGCAATCTGCAATCCTCACCACTAGATGGCAATAAATCCCCCTGAATCTCACATGCCATTCATTTAAGAGATAAATTACAACTGATATACTCACATTTCTTTTTAAAAACACTGACTACTAGGGCTGCACGATATTGGAAAAAACTTTTTTTTTGCAATATATATTTCAATATTAAAAAATACAAGAATTTTCACCAGATGACTTAAACTAAGAAAATTTTAAAAATAGTGGCTTTTACTCACCAACTGCAGAGGCTACCAGCTTCATTTGAAACAGACTACATTATAAAAGAACTGTTATTTATTAATCCCTCTGTATCTTTATATTTTTACTTTTTATCCGCTCCCGTTGCCTTGATAAAGTTAATGCATGGCGCCGTCATTTCAAACTCAACACTTCCTGAACTTGTTTCAAATTAAAAGCCCCTTATAACCTCTGCTGAGAGAATCCCTCCATTTTCTAAATAGGCTTTTATTGTGAAACATTTGTAGGAACCTGTTGTGGAGGATTCAGTGGCTTGTATGTTTGTGTACGGTACTTCAAATGTAGCTCCTGCCATCTGCTGATGCTTTTTAGGTGATTAGGTGAGTGGAGCAAAGAGCATCTTCAGAGCTGCTTTTGTGAAGCAAAACAAAAGTTTACATGTTCTAAAAAAAGAGAAAACATCGCATGTCCTGCGATCGCATTTGTGATGGCGATGTTTAAATGATATCGTGCAGCCCTACTGACAACCGTACATCTTCAACCAATCTCCAGATTCCTATGTTCTAGACGTCCTGTGTTTAACCAACTCGTGAAATGATGTTCCAACTTACACCAGCCCTATACCAAACAACTTTTAAAGTGATTTCACTATGTTGGAATAAAATCACAAGAGTTTTGCTACAGTTGGTGCACGCTCCCATGATCTCAATAATTTGGTGTAAGATGATCATAAAACTCAGTAGTCTGAGCAGTGTTTTTCTCGTCTTGATGTTTCAATAAAATCAAACAGGATCCACTTTGTTGTAAACTTTCAGTCCTGGCTCATCCAAACACTGAAGATCAATGACATAAATTGTCAACAATCAATAGGTGAACCTCCTCTAGCATCAAACAAGAAGCAGCACACCGGGTAAAGAGTAAACATGGAAGGGACTCTGGGGATGAGCTAGAAAGTGAACAGGTTCTACATCCTCCGGAAAAAAAAAAACAAGAAACTGGTGGAGTTGTGGACCAACCAGCAATCACATTAATGAGAAGTCTTTAATTTTTGAAATGGTTCACCTCTCATTCTCATGGTCTCCTCCCACTTAAATAACACAGCTAACCAATGGAGGGTGGTGGCCAAGTAAGGGGACAAAATCCAAAATGTAAAGTTTGCACACAAATATGTAGGGAATTGTTAATATGTCATATTTCTTAAAGGGAGTTTGGCATAACATTTTCCACCCAGAGCAGGATGGGAAATAATCTCCAAAGAAATCTAGATGTTTTCTTGGAAATAGTGACCCTGCAAGATCCCCAGTCTTCGCAAGAGGGTATCAAACTTAAGTCTTTTACAGTATTTTCAGAGTCCTCTAGTTTATGGCAGACATTAGTGTGTCTGTCTGTGTATTTGTGTCCTCACTTTAGAAGAGCTGAAGCCATGTTGGCATTGATAGTCTGTGCTGGGATTTTTGGGAGTCCGGACGATTTCGTTGGAGGGAACTGGGTGTGGTTGAAGGAGGGGAATCCAGGGGTGTAAGGGTCGCCTGAACCCAGATGGACCTGAATGTGGACACACACGAAATCAAGACACATTATGATGCTGTAATAAGTGGTTTCAAAGTGAGACTTCACTGGCTACTTGATTCATCAGCATTTAACAACACGCTACAAAAGTAATATAAATATAACATGAACTTACATGCCCATAGAGTGCTGTGTCTGCAACATAGTCGAAATCTTGACGGTCAGGGTAGATTAAAACAGCAGCAGCACCCTTCTTGGCAGCATTATTCACCTGGAGAGACACAATCAAAGACAAGACAAGCTCTTAATGAAATTCCTGAAAAACTCAAGTGCTGCATATGAGGCACATGAAGGCGTGAAATCAGTCGTCACCTGCTCTGCAAAAGTGATGTTTCCAGCTCGGAGCAGCAACACACTATCTTTCATCTCAATGTCCATCTTTTGCAGATCATCCAGATCCTCCTGACGGCCGTAGTTGCCATACACCAGCTTACCCTACGAACATAAGTCAGACAGGCCGCTACATTAAACAGCTGAAAGCAACAAATCTCAGTTTACTGGGCTTTAAAGACTTTGAATTAAAGTAAACTTAAACAAACTTTTTAGTCATGAAAGTGTGACTCTATCAACTCACCTCAACTTTCCCAGTAGCACTGTAGGCCAGATACCCTTTAGGCGCAAAGTTATCTGAACCAAAAACGACCCGGTTTGGACGCTTGCTGCAGGTAAAGACAAAAACTTGTTATAGTTTCATTTGTTTTTGGTGTTTTTTGCAACACTTTATTTTGCAGGGCTCTGTTCTTTGATAATCATCGATCTTAAAAGTTTTCTGAGATAGTTACTATGAAAGCTCTGAAATACATTTCCTGAAGCAGAACTTCAGAGCGAGTGCAAGCGCACACTATTGGAAGCTTCTTGACAAAAGTAACTCAAATTAATTTAGTTTACATATTAAAGCGTCTGTAATTTGTGCTTTAGATTATATATTAAATACATGCATCACAAAGCATGAATGTTTTATGACAAAAAATGTTTTATACATAAAAGATTCATGTGTAGAGGGAAGCCTTTGATATTTCATGTTCCTGGGTTTAAGCAAGACTAAAAGTAAATTTAATTTAGCTGCAGTGGAGACAAACATAAATAAAAAGAAAAGAAAATACAGAGCCTAAAAATAAAAAAATCAGGAAATCATTTATAAAATTAAACTTAAAATTGCACAAAATCCCCCAAACAATTGTAGGTTCAAGAGTTTAAGATGCTCTTCTTCCTCCTACATGCGGGCAGAAGATACTCATTAATCAACCATCAATTTTTAAATTGTCTTGAGTTATGATGCTTTTAAGAAACACCTGTCATACATCAGCCCCTCCAGGATGTTGCGATGGCAACAATTAATACTAATTCAACCTTTCCCCATAAATTCTGCATGAGCAGTCCCCTGCACAACATCACTAAACTCACTTATTTATATCTGGTCATGACGATGCAGATATGTACGATATGAACATCTCTTATTTACAAAAAAAAAAAAATTACTGCTAAAGATCATACAAAGCAAAGACAATGCCCTGATTTTTCGGGGGGAAAAAAAAACAAAAAACAAAAAAAAAAACATGGGGCTAAACTGCTTTTGCACCATGTTCAGGCTTGTGGTGAAGCACCAACGACACAAGCTGATAAACTCTTTTCTACCGCAAGACGCACCCAGAGAATGGCTAAAACATGTGGACAACAAACAAGATAAATCACCATGACAGAGACTGTTGTGTCAAGATCTAATGCACACGCTGAAAGAGCCATGGTGAGTTATATTAAATACTGGTAAGTGGTAACATAAGTGTAGCATAAATCATGAACCAAACAGTGTAGTTTTATTCTCACTGGAGCAAACTGCCTTTGATTTTGAATAAATAAAAGTGCCAGCTATTTTTTGCAATTTCTGTGCAAAAGACACCTAAAAATATTGCAACCTGTATTGCAGTTTTTTTAAAAAAAAAAAAAAAAAAAAAAAAAAAAAAAATTTAAGACAAAAAAAAAAGAAAAAAAAAAAAAAAAAAAAATAAAAGCTCACGAAAAAAGAAAAATTTGCAAGATGGATTTTAAGATCATGTTAGCCTTCAAATGCTTTTGGTAAACGAGGTCCTGGTCCATAAATTCCCAATATTCTGCTAATTATTGCCTAGGAAATATCCTGGAAAGAATTATCTGGTTCACTTACAGTCAGGTTAATATTTGTTTACTATTTAGTGGAAACTTTATTCTGGTTTCTTGATGTTGATTGATTGGTTTGTTCTCATTTGTTATTTATACTTTACACTAATGTCTCTGTGTCTATAGTTATGCCTATCCTTGCGTCTATAGTTATGCCTATTCTTGCAATCAATAGCAAATTAAATAGTAATTTTATAGAAAATGTCTGAGGAAATTGTTAGAAAATGACAGACTTGTAAAATAACTCATTGTAGATCCTGTCTTTTACAATCAGAGGATAACAGGACAGCACCATCAACAACAGTCATACGGACTAATAAACTCAGGGCCAAAACCTACTGGAAACAGTGTGACAAAAGCTCACGTGACTGTGCGATTATTAATCGAGATATGCGAAATGAAATTGAAAAAAAATAAAAATAAAAAATTCCACCGATGAACAAATAAACCACCTAATCAGCAAATCATGAATATGCATAAACCCTCCCATTGACTTTGAATTACAGCACTTCCAACAGGCCAAAAAAAAAAAAACAATTAATCTTAGAACTTAGGATGGTGATTTATATTTCATATCCAAATGCCAAATCTTGACAGTTTTAAAGACGTATTCCTCAAATAAAATAATCAAGCCTAGTTAATGTATCATAGCAGTAGAGATAATGTGTTGCATCGACCTGTCTGGTGTCTGCAGCTGAACGTAGTGGATGTCAGTCCAGGGATCCATCTCCAGTTTCTGGAATTCATCAAAGATGCGGTTTCCCAGACTCGTATCTCCATCACTTCCTGCAAAACGGCTGGGACGATCAAAGTCACTGCAGGAAGAAACAAAATTTTTAGTTGTCTGAAATGACTCAAACATGCGCACGTCAAACACTTTTGAGGAAAAACACAGCGGAATCATAACGCATGCAGGGCTTTATTTTAAAGGTCAGTATGTTTATGTATATGCATGTTATGAGAAACTCCATTTCAAAATGACACACACCTCCCACACTGCTGAACTAATTTCCAGGAAATTTTAGGTGTTTTTGGACCAAACCGTTCTGGGGACTTCCTGAGAGAAACTTCTCACTGGAGAGCTCCTCCAAAAACAACATACTGTCCTTCCTTCAATGGCTTTTTTATCATTTGCTTTTGCACCACCAGCAAAATTGCAGTGTATTTTCCCAGTCTTATATGTGCTCAGTAAAGCCTGGACTTCACTGTCGGGCCTTTAGTCCATTTTATTTCATTCATTTTTTTCATTACGAGCTGTTGTTTGTGTTTTGTGTTGTCTGTTGTTTACACAGCTAACGGCTTTGTAAAAATGGTGGTAGCTGGTGCTCCACTGGTTCATGTGTTTGACCAATCATTGGACATCTAAATCACTCAAGTTTCCTGTTTTGCTGGGAGAGTACCTACATGTATTCTGAAATGAAAAGGAAACGAAAGGAGCTGAAAAAGTCCCTGAAAACAGCCCTCGCAGAGCTGTGAGTGTTCTTAGCTCTTAGTTCTTGTAAAAATGGGGGTTTTCAAAACTCTGCTTTTGGAAGTAAAAAAAAGTTCCTGCTGTACAAAATTGTCTATTGTTACTTTCCAACTTGAATGTGCAGAACCATAGACAACCTTTCCTGTGATCCATCTGCAGACTGCTTGGTGGCAAAGCATGTTTTAAAAAGTCTTATGAGCCTGAGAGGAAACACACTTCTAATTGTTTTTTCTATCAAACAGTGACAGTGTGTGACTTCCCATTTGTGGTGGCACACAAGGCTCAGGCAATAATACAAGATTATCATTCAACACGATATTGGTTGGCCACGATAATGGTCCTCACGTGTCTACGATAACAGAATATGATGATGCAACGTCTGTTGTGAATTTGGCACTATATTCAGTCCCTTTCAGGTTTCACTTGTTTTCTCCAAGCTTCACAGCACTGTTCAAGTGTATCAAGAAAAAGTACCAAGCTAGCACACATCCGACGGTGTATGAATTACCCACGTAGCCCTAACTCAAGCAGGAAAGACGTCTGTTCTCTTTGGCAAAAAGAATACAAGTGCGTGTATTTGTTGACTCTCCAAATACACGCACTTGTATTTGACTCTCCAAATACAAGTGAGTGTATTTGGAGAGTCAACAATGAACAATGTAATTTCTGTGCTGTGCGATTAACAAGTCAGGACTAAGGACGGAAACACCACAAATCTCCACTCCCATCTTAAAACTCACTATCCAACAAAATACACAAGTCTGCCATCAACTCCAGCCACAATCAGGAGCTGGTTAATTACTTCTAATCAACCCTTAATCAAGAGGGCTTCTGCAAAGGCAACAAAATATAAACATAACAGTCACAGTGGCAAGACTGTACGAGGGTAGTTATGCTTGTTATTGAAAACCTATCTGAGCTCAGCTCAAGGCTGGCCAAGACCTGGATGGTACTATTTTCCAAGACAAGGAGCCTGTACTTATTTTGATATATATATAAATTTGTATTAAGGCAGGGCGGGGCGGGTAGGCACACCAACATTTACAGACATTTGGCTGGCGCTACACCACCGTGCAAGTTTAAGAAACAGTCTCATGCCATCAGTATAGGCCACATTAAGTCTCTGCATGTTGCGCTAAAAAGAGCAATCTTCATATCAACTGAACACATGCAGAATTTGCGTGTACAACTTGTAACACTGTCTGTGGACATCATTAACATCAGATAAATCATTGACAATTCTTCTTTACTTCTGACAATCATGATGTTGCTCTTATTGGCATTATATTTGATGTCAAAATCAGCACCGTAGTTTAAGCAAATCTTCAAAAGCTGTTGTGGGCCAGATTACCAAATCATCTGCATACATAAGATGATTTATTAAAATATTGCAGACTACACACCCTGCATTACATGCACTTAACTGCTGTGACAAGTCATCCATGTATACATTAAAAAGAAAAGGACACAAAATGGCACCTGCGTCTCCAGTCCACAGATACTTAAACTTAAATGTGTGTCTCTCAAGCAATATTGTCTGTAAAGGAACTTACTGTCACCTAAACCTATTGCATAAATAAAGAGACCAATTAAATGTCATAAAAACACAAACACCCAGAAGAGATAAATTACTGAGCAGACATTTCTCCTCTCTGTGCTGAAACTGATTATTAAAGTGGGTATGAGTGCTCTCCTCAGCCAGAACATCCCGTACTGACTGTTTTGGGGTTTTTTTTTTTGTAAATGTGAAACAATGGTGGTGCACTCTTGCTAACCACCTTTAAACATGGTGACCTAATTTAAGATGTTTCACTCATGTACGAGCTTTGCTGCATTTTGCAGAGAGAGATATTCACATCATAAATCGTCTTGAAGCCTCCAAGTCTAAGATTTTACCTATGTGACCATAATGCCCAGCTCTGGCTTAAAGCTGAAATTATAAAGAGATAAATATCTGCTACTGTAAGTCTGAACCATGCAATTTAATTTCAAACATGTCTGATATTTGAGAGACCTCTCACTCGGCTGTGGGTGCTTCTTTGGGTCAGAATCTGCGTCATCCATCCATCCAAAACTTGGTGAATATTATCCTTACATAATCACACTCTTTGTAACCTTCCTCTGTCTCGTTTGTATTCTCTGGCTGTCTGCAGCGTAGTACTCTAAAAATAAAATGTTCTCTGATCCCTCTCACCCAGTTCATTCAGATAACATTAGATTTACTTTGGGAGGACTGTTCTTATTCTTTCACACTGGGATTATTTACACATTAATGGACTGGCAGGAGGTTTATTAGGTTGCTGGGTGTTTGTATGGTAAGGTGTATTACCTTATGGCTTCACCTTCTGTATGACAATATAAAATTGAGTGTGGTTTAAAAAGGTGTGCACATGAACAGTGTACCTCAGAGTTTTTTTGAAGGCCTTGCTGGTGAGTTTCTGCGCGAGGAGCTGGGTGACATCCTTCCAGTCCATCTGTGCGTCTGGAGCTGGTGCAACAACAGCTGACATAGTGTCCTGCGGATCTTCTGTTTCCAGCTCTGTGTCACACGTTACCTGCTCCACCCGAGTCCCATGATGGCTGAGGTAACCGAGCACGTAGCCTAGAGGACAAACAACACAAAGACACAGAAACTGGTAAAAAAAAAAAAAAAATTAAAATTAAAAAAAAAAAAAAGGTATAAAATAAAAGTTTTCGAGCAGCATGCTAGCTGTACTGAAAAAAAAAAAAAAAGGTATAAAATAAAAGTTTTCGAGCAGCATGCTAGCTGTACTGGTAAACACATTAAGACTAGATATTAGACTAGATAGTGGACTGCATCACCCAAGGTCTTAAACCTTTGCACTGGTTTCCTTAGAAACAATCCGAGAATACTCTCAGAGGTCATACCTTTACCTAAATATCCCTAGTAAGGAGTCCTAGGTGTGGTTGACCCTGTTGCTAAGTATCTTTTAAAAGGTGTGATTGGTGGACCAATTTGTGAGCCTACAAGGTGTGCACCCCCAGTGGATATGAAATTAATTGCATCCCTATGAGACTAAATACGTGTCGCCATTGTTAGCATGATCACTCTGCTGATGGACAGTTGAGACAGACCCAAATCATCACTGCTGCACTGTTGCATTTTTCCAGCCATCCAGCGTTTGGAGAATATATCTCCTACCTCTTTGTCTCTTTGACATTTTCTCATCTGCTTAAGACACTCTTAAGTCCTTTAAAGTCCTCCTCCCATGTCCTAACAGTTTTCCACCTTAGGAGCTCTCTTAAGGGCTAAGATGCTGTGTGAATAACTTTCAACCTTTATCAAGTGTTTATCTTTATCTAGCATTTACTGGGAGGGGAAATCCTCTGGAAACATCATAATTCTAAGAATTTTCTTAGACTTTCGAAACTAGCAGCAACTGTACTAGATATCTTTGTGAATACAGCCCCAGGGTTCCGCAGAGTACCCAGAAATTATTATACTTAACTTATAACCATGGTTCTCAAACTATTCTGGTTGTGACAACATTATCCGTCAGGACATGTTATTGTGTTATTGGTCCAGTAGAGTGATGACAAGCTTTAATTGAGGCACAAGCCCCTTTTACACTACCAGATTTTCCGCGAATGTTGGGCCATTTTGCCGGCAAGCTGCAACTGTTTAGACAGAGGCGGAATGGTGAGTTGATCCGAGGCGCCCAATTTTCCGCCTCGTAGGGTAGTCATATTGGCGAAACCCTTTCAGTTTAAACAGACCGAGGCGGCCTTCTGCAACAGGAGGGGCTGTTGGCAAGCAGCTAGTAGCAAGAGGGAAACGCAAACCTGACAGTCACTACAGTAAAGATGAGCAACTGAGGAGACAAGGAATTGCACGCCCTCCTTGTCCTCGCAAACGAAGAGGCCATTAACCGTCAAATGACAGGGACGGTGAAGAACGGGCCGACTTATGAGAGAATCACCGAAGGACTGACTAGCCGCGGCTTCCCTCCCACATCACTGTTTACGTCACACACTGAGCTACACGTTTTGTTACTTGCTCACGCCCCCCATTGCCCCGAAAAAGGCGCATTCTATATAAACAAAAGTAGGTAGGCGACATTTTGCCGCAATCCCCAATTTGGGCTTTATACTGCCAATGCTGAAAAAAGACTGATTGGGCTTTCCTGCAAATTTGCACAATTCCAATCTAAAAAGGGCTAAAGACACAGAGGCATTCAAATTATCTTACACTTTGTCTCTAAATTTACAGCTAAATAAGGTGCAACTTCCTCTTTGTCATGTTCATGGAATAAATCTTTTATGAGCATTATTGGTCTAAAAATCGAGTCAAGTTACCAAGACTGGTTTTAAATGATGATTTGTTTGCATTAATTCCGCCACGGTTTCTCATTTCTTTGGTAAAACCTGTAGTCATTGTGATACGTTTTTTTTTTTTTTTTTTTTTTTTTAAAGCAAACATTAAAATGTTCTGTCTTCTATAACAGTAAACTAAATATTTTTGGGTTTGGATGGTCAGGGGAAACAAGACATTTGTAAACAGCAACTTGGAATCAGAAAAATTGTTAAGGGCATTTTCAGCTATATTCTGATAGTTCATAGATTTAACGCATCCAAAATATAAAATGGCAGATTAGTCAAAAGAGATGATCTTAGTTTCAGCTCAAATATTGAAGAATTTAGGAAACAGACAAAAAAAGATAAGCATGTTGACATAAAAACAACTTGAGAGATACAGGGTTACCACACCTTGGTAAATAACAAATTCAGTGACTTTTCAAGGACCTGCACAGCATGGGTCATGGTTATTTACTGTGGAAACACCTTTAAAATGACAACAAGCAGGCTTTACACAAGCTCACTGCCAATTAAAAAGACCGTATGTATTAATGTTAAGCTAAAAAAAGCATCAAACGAACTTTCTATTCTTGCACAAAATATACAAATTCAAGCATTTTCATGACACATTTCTACTTATGTCTACTTTTAAAATCTCAAATTCAGAAACTTTCCAGGATTTCAAGGATCCATGGATGACAAGGACAAGGGTGGCCTACCGGTGACAAATATCAGCACGGTCCCCAGGGCCAGGTAACAAACTATCCTCCGGCTGTTACGCGGAGGTGCTGGCCTGAAGCTGGGAGATCCCCCTGCCTGGTCCTCCACCTCTGTGGCATCATCTGACAGTTTGACTTCAACGTGTCTTTCTCCATCCTCCGCCGGCTGCAGAGTAAACCTGCTGTAGCGCTCACTTTTAGTCTAGAGAGGGAGATAAGATAAAAGAGAAAACTATGAGCGCAATGTGTTCCTGATCCCGCAGCTGCACAGGAGGACGGGTGGCCAAGTGGTAACAAAGGTCTAATTATTAAAAACTGGTTGACAATTGCTGTGTTATGGACAATGCATTGCATTTTGGGTCCTCAGTAGCCTGTATTTACTCTGTGTTTTATGGTCTTTTCTTTGATTTTCTTTTTATGCTTTTCAGTTTTTACTGATTTACATGTTTTATCGATTGATTATTTTATTGTATTTTGTGGAGCACTTTGTGAATTTTTTTGTCTGTTTAAGGTGCTATATAAAAAAACAACATTCATTGTTATTATTATATATTATATTATCATCTATGTAACCGGTTTACTTTAGATACAAAAATAATACAAACATTCAACAAAAAAAAACTTTATATAAGTAACACACACTCACCACGCTGTTAAACGCAGCCCTCACTCGATCCATTGTTGCTGTTGTTCCAAAGACAGACAGTGGAAGAAGCTGAGTGTGTGAGTGGCAAATTAGGAACGCAGATGCAGAGACAAAAGGAAAAAGGGAGGGAGGGGCGGGGAAAGAAGGGGACGTGAGGTGAGGCAGATTCCAAGTCAGATGAACATTGAAGGTTACAGCAGGTCATGGACAGTGTTTTCCCTGTAAACAGGCTGGCTGTTGTTCACAGACACATCCCGAGGACACACAGCATCACAAATATGATTTTATACACAGTATTAAGTCTGTTTCTTGCCTATTATTTTCTGTCACAGCTATATAAGATATATTATGTTGCTGCAGGTCAACATCATTTCAGGCTCTTGTTAACTGATCTGGATCTTTGTCATTTGTCTAATGAATAGTTGGGGAATCAGATGAACGCTGTATTGATTGTCCTTTCTGTCTCAATGCAAAATTGTTAATGTCACAACATCCGAGAACTGGTTTGACCTTCACTTTACACACATACTTGCAAAACACGAGACAGATACTACACAGAAAACAGACTGGGAATTGTTTCCACATCACTACAGCGATACCTTTGTTTCTCTTACAAACATGTCAGACACAGACTACACCGAGGCGTCAGTCAGCGCTTAAGCTTAACTGACACTTCCTCCTGTGCTTTCAGGTAGGTCTTCTTCCTTCCTTACACAAGGGAACTGTCGCAACATGAACCAAGCTTACCAGTTAAATCACACCACATCCTCATTACTGAGTTGAAGCAGGAAATGGCTACTGCTATTGTGAAGATAACATTCAGTGTATGCATGTTTCGTGTAATCATTTACTGATGGAAACATAAAAATGGCAGAAGGGGCTCGGGCTGCACATATGGCCAAGTGCAATATCTAAATTGCAGGAGCTGCAGTTTTTTAATAAAAAGGTAAAATGTGTCACAGCATACCACTGATAAAGTATTGTGGTGCTATAGAGGTGTCCCTGTCTATAAATCATATTTCAGATGTAAGGGAAGGGAGGCATTATTAGCATCATTTTTTCATATTTCTCCCAGAGTAAATAATTTGCAAAAAATTACCACTCTCACTTAAAATGCAGCTCATGTCACAATATCTGTCAAAATAATTGCAATTATTTATTTTTGCGTACGTGCAGCCCTTCATGGGCTTGTGTCCATATTGACAGACACGAAAACCACAACTGAAAGGACATCACCAGAGCCAGATAAGCTCAGTAATGGCTTTAACAAGACTCAAGGGAATGTTTTTGGGCGGCCTGCTCCACAGGATCTGAGCACTTCCTTGTCGATGTTATCTCTACAGCAGCCCACAAATGTATTCAATTGATCATATCCTCAAAAAATGTCAGGAAATAGTTTAAAATGTCCATAACAATTTCCAAGAGCCCAAAGAGACATCTTCAAACATCTAATTTTGTCCTATCCTCAATATGTTCTCTTCAGAATGATATAAGACACAAAAAAGCAGCAAATTATCAGATTCTGACAAGTGAGAATGTGCAAATATTTATTGACTGATGATTGCTCAATTGATCATGAATCAAAACATGTTATTTTTTGTCTAATTATTTAATGGTCATCTTGTTAAAGCCGTGTTCAAGTTTCCCTTTCAACTGTGGAATGTCCCACTCAGTGCATGTCTTAAACACAACTAAAATAAAAGTTTTCATATCTGATTAATCTTTGTCCAGATAAATTGGTCAGTCATTTCTTTTATTAAAACAGAACATGGTGGAAAATACCTGTAATAAATTGATATAGCCAAATATGGCAATAGATCATAAACAGTGAAAAAGTTTATTGTCATGTAAGATAAAGGAAAATCAACAAAATATCACATTTTAGATGCAGCAATGTCCTTGATTGTTAATTAATTATCTGCCAATTAATCAGCTCATCCTGCCAGCTCCAGACACAACGTTTCAATAAGCATATTTTAGAAAAACATTCATATTGCATGGTTTTCTTTATATATCATTATTACTTTAACTCTCAATTATATCTAGTGAACACCTACTCACTCATTTGCTTATGAACATAACCTACTAGTATTCAAATCAAATGAAAATACAGTGTACTAGTGCAAACAGACTGTACAGAAACCGTTGAGGAGTGGCCACATAAGGTTGCATCATGCCATGTCTCCACATGTCAACTCTTCCTCTATAAGGAAGGTTTTCATCTGGACACATTTAGACATTTTTCCATGTCTCACCGCATCTTAATTTTTATTTTCACAGGAGATAATTTAGTGTTTTTTGGTGTTGCAAGAATACTCCTCCATACTTACTTGTCACGCTTGCATAACAAAGAAAAACAAAAACAAGGCTTTCATATTAAAGACAATACATTTTTCTGGATTATTAACTGTAGCCTGACATGAATTTACAAAAGAAACATTAAGTAACATGCAGAGAGCACAGGTGACATTAGTAGCATCATTTGTGAGTAAGCTAGTTAGCTGCATGTTTCGTGTCCTCCCTATCTTGTCAGTTGAGGGAAAGCGTCGCGTAAAAGGCACTGCAGGTCAACAACTAGCTTACTGTATGTGTAATAAATGAATAAAATATCTGTTAATGTCAGTAATCTCACCTTATCACCGCTGAGACTACCCGCGTCTTCTTGCCGGAGCGTTGCTCAGCCGTGTCCTTATAGGGTCGTGCCACTTCCGCGTTACGTCATCTCCCAAAGAGTCACGTACACATCCTTAAAGGTGAAAGAACAGTGACTCAAGCACTTCAATATTGATGCTCTTGTACATTACCTACATTTAATGACACTTTTTAAGTCCACTCTACAGGATTCAGAGATAAATGTTGTGCTTTTTACTTCACTACATTCATTTTAGACCTGAAAATTATTTGCAGAATAAGATTGTACATTTAAATGTTATGGTATTTTATTAAATATGAGGTGTTGTTCAGTGCACAAACCTGCTTACCCCCTTGTCCATAAAGCCTCATTTTGCTCCAGATGTTTGCTGGTGCATGTAAGAATATTCCAGAATGTTTTTAATTAAGTTTAATTTTTCATCATTTTAGTGCAACAACTTGGAAGGCAGATGCTTATTTCCAGAGCATTTTTCACTATTGATTTATACAAAAAACAAAACACCCTTATTACTATTTTAGAAATTTAGCCTTGTGTATGTAATAGCCTATAAAACACCATCAAAGTACACCTTTTTTCTTTTTCTTTTTTCTTTTTTTTTAGTAAGCCTCCTTTTACTTCAATATTTGAAGTATATTTTCCCATAAGTCGGATTTTAAATGCAGGACTTTTACTTATAATAAAATGTTTTTATAATGTGGTATTACTACACATACATTCCTTCCTAGAGCATTTTTAACTGTTTGACAAACAACAAAAAAAACAGAAAATTAGGCTAATGTATATAATATAAAACAGCATCAAATACACAATAATAATAATATTGATAATAATAATGCATTGGATTTATATAGTGCTTTTCAGGATACTCAGAGGCTTTACAGGGAGCAACAACAGCAATAAAAAAAAAAGAAAAAATCCAAATTTAAAAACTTAAAAAACTTAACTTAAAAAAACTAGGCGTTTTACTTTGAAACTTTAAGTATATTTTCCTGATACTTTCAGTTGTGTATGCAGGACTTTTACTTGCAATGAAATGTTTTTATCTTGTGGTATTACTACATTTACTTGCTCTGAATACTTCTTCACCACTGCTTATTCCCTATTAACTGGACCAGCAGTGCTGGAAAGTCACTTACATTTATTTAAATAGTGTTTTTTAAGAGCAACTTAAAGCCAGCTTGAGAATCTGTGTTTCATTGCCAAGTATTTTTCCTTTAAAATTCAATGTTGTACTACATGTTTTATTATTTACTTGCTATGTAAAATGTAATAGTACAAGATGTGTTTATTCTCGCTGCTTTCATGTGGTGAGGGGAATACATGGATTACTCCTGTAAACCAACGCATATGAATGACACAACAAAGACACTGCAATGGCACCACCGCTGCACAGAGATTACTCTGTGGTTTTAAACAGATATGACATTGACATATTTTTAAGGGCGTGATTCATTTTTGCTGCTCCACTGACACGGAACCACCTAAACTACTAGGAAAAACACACCTTTTTTTTTTAACAATGTTTTTTATTGATTTTCAATAGATATATACAGAACACATCAACACGTACCACACTAACTGCACAATGAGATACAAACTGACCTCACTGCATACACACACAAAAGCAAAAAAAAAAAAAAAAAAAAAACCTGTCACACTCAACAGCTTTACAAATAAGTATTCACTGTTGCCTGAGAAAGTCCATTAAAGGTGCCCACACCTCTTCAAATTCTTGCGCTTTACCTCTAGTTACATAGGTTAGCTTTTCTAATGTAACACACATTACCATCTCTCTGATCCAGGACTGTTTAGAAGATACTTCAGTCTCTCTCCATGATAGGGCAACCATCCTCCTGGCCTGCAGGAGGCCAAAGTTTATGAGAGTCTTACACTTAGAGTTAAAAGAAAAGTTATCTGGATATATCCCTAAAATACAAAGTTTTGCTAAGCAGGGTACCTGGATACCTATGATTTTACTTAGAGTGCGGACAACCATTTTCCAAAAAGCT